GGAGTTTACCTAGGAGGGTACCGGTAGGCAAAATACTCACACATTAATAAAAGGGAGTTACTAGTAACAGTCAAGCAGCTAGGAGATTCTATATGTGAATTCATCTTCGTCATATTGCTAAGTGTCATAATGCCTCCGAACCAGTACATCAAGTTGGCAATGTTTTATAGAGAAATTTCATGAAAATTATATTTTCACTTGTAATGCAATATATTCCTTTTTAAAGTATCAGTAAAAATTATGTTTAAAAATGTGTTGTCAATTTGAATAATCAAATAAGGATTTCATAGATCCTGAAAATAATCTTTGTCATCACTGATCCGTATCAATGGGTAATCTCTGCATAGTATTTGTGTAGTAATACAGTCATGTAAGTCTGTATTTTTGTGTATTCCCTCTGTTATTGTTATGTGTTATAGATATGAAACAAGATCCATTTCGACACCCAACTTCTTCATATTTTTTCAATTCCTCCGTCCATCATATAAAGTAAGTTCTTGTTTCATGTCCTTCAAATGATTGTTAAAATGCTGAGTTTCCGTGGTATTTCTCACATATTATTGTACATTCTGTACATCAAGGTACATGGCCGTTATTCCATCCATACATGTTTGATATATATGTGTATTCCCTCTGTTATTGTTATGTGTTATTGATATGAAACAAGATCCATTTGGACACCCAACTTCTTCATATTTTTCAGCCTCATCGACCATTATCTCCAACTATTTCTTTTACACACCCACCCTCTGATCTCCGCCTCGCTTCAAGCTCCCTGCCATTTACCAGCCTTTTTTTATACCTCAATTCCTCCGTCCATCATTTAAAGTAAGTTCTTGTTTCATGTCCTTCAAATGATTGTTAAAATGCTGAGTTTCCATGGTATTTCTCACATATATTATTGTACATTCTGTACATCCAGGTACATGGCCATTATTCCATCCATACATGTTTGATATATACAAAGCGTTTGTGACTTCTTTGGCGGAAATCCATCAATGGGTTCTTATGATAACGCGATCACGAGAAAGGGACGTACGGACGGATGGCTGGACAACCCGAAAACATAATGCCTCCAGCTCCTTTGTAGCGGAGGCATCAAAATGTGAAGAGCATGGAAGATAAAAATGCAGCAGCGAAGAAAGCAATGGTTAAAAAAAAACATAAGTGGCCAAACGAAACCATGCACTCAAAAAAGAAAACGAGGAACTCAAATCTGAGTTGGAAATGATAAAGACGGACTTGGAACTATCTCTATCGAGCCTATCTGCACTATGTGGACAAGAAGACGAAGACGACATAATAGAACTTGATACAAAAGTCAGTCAAGATTTGTTTTAGCGAAGAACTAAACATGATATAATAAATAGACCTTGAGTTTTATTTCTACACCATATAAATATTTGAGAGAGGCTAAGGCGGCCAGCGAGGATACAGCGTCCAGTCACAAGACCGGTCAACCTTAGTGACACCGACGGCAACAGCGTGGAAGACCTCATGGTCCACTGAACGTCTCCAATCCTCAGACCAATCCTTCGACCAGTCCAATGAAGTCTACAAATTCAACGACATGCCCACGCTTTCTCTGACCCTATCCGACCAGTCCGCCGACGAACCACTCTACCTAGCCCTCTCTTCGACTAGTCACACCAACCTGATGAATTGCCACGAGTCCACAGACCTGTCTTTCGGTCTGTCCACGCTTTCTCCGATTCTCTTCTGCCAGTCTGCCGACGAATCACTCCACCTAGCGACCATCGACCAGTCACCTGACCAACCCGATACACATAGCCACAGCTTGGAGGCTATAGTTCGACAAATCGCAACACTCTAACAAGAAAACCAGACGTTAATCCTCGAAGTCACCAATCTAAGCTAAGGCAGCCATCGAGGCTAAGGCAGCCATCGAGGCTAAGGCAGCTGTCGAGAATAGCTCTACCTATCGTCACAAGACCGGTCAACCTTAGTACCAGTGACACCGACATGTCGCGACAGAGACAGCGTGGAAGACTTCATGGTCCACTCAGCGTCTCCAATCCTCCGACCAATCCTCCGACGATCCTAGGACGATTTCCACTAGCACTCTTTGGATACTCCACGATTGGATACTTACAACCATGACTATACCCAATATCTTAAATGTTTTCTGACCTAGTGTATGTATTGTGTAGCAATGTATGTATTTTGTCCTAACGTATTGTTGTTCGTGTCTGATGATAATTCGACCTTGTGGATTTGTATCAAACTTGAACTTGATTTTATATTTTGTGTGTGAAACTCCCTCTTTGCAAGCTGGTATTTCTTTGATATTTCTCTCTGCTTTCCACAGCTCAAAGAACAATGAATGACCAAGTTCAAGACACTTTGCTAACACTATCTCCTCCTCTACCCCTGTGTCCTCTACCCCTGCCTGTGTACATCTGTTTCCTTTTCTGCACTTTTTCCATCAATTTCTTCTACCTCTTTTTTCATCAATTTCTTCTACCCAATGCAATTATTCCTCAAATCCCTCTCTTCCATCCTCTTGTCTTTCTCTCCCTCCCTTTGAACCCATTCTTAATCCTCCATCCTTTTGATGTTTTGCTCACTATGAATATGATGGACAAAGAAAGAGGACAAAATATACAGTCATTCTACCCTCAACAATTGCTGTGGTAGACAAAGGAACATCCCTTCACTGCTAAAAATGTGTAGAACAGGGAAATATGCATGTGACACCTGTTCTTCACATTTTTACATAATAGCAGTGAAGGGATATTCCTTTGTCTACCACAGCAATTGTTGAGGGTAGAATGAGGAACTGTATATTTTGTCCTCTTTCTTTGAATGAGGACATGTTCGTAGTGGCTATAAATTGTGTCCTTTTTTAGTTTTTAATTTTACAATTCTCATACTTTTTACTCATGAATGTTCATTTCCTCAATTGTTAAGTTGGATGGGGTGGTGAGAGTGGTACTGTGTGAAGTTTATTAACCCAGGAGGGTAGGCAGAAGACCGTCATACATCAATAAACGAACATACTAGTAAAAGGCAAGCCGGTTAGAGATTTTTACTTTGCTTTTGCTTTGTACATAAGATTGTCCTTGTCATCTTGCTTTTATTATTTCACTTGTGTCATAATACCTAGGCAGCTGAACCAGAACAGCTGGAACTGTGTGGAGTTTACCTAGGAGGGTAGGCATTGTAGGAGGAAGGCACCCTTGGCTGTAGAAGATGACGAAGAGTGCTGGCAACACCGTCATTAAGAACAAGATAACATTTAAAAACAAAAAATAAATTGACCCCTCATCACATCACAGAGATTTAGCTTTTAAAGAGATGGTCAAACTATTGAAATGAATGGGCAGATTAAAAATACAGAGGATATACTTTCAAAAAGTAATAAATGCTCTAACGAAACGTCTCATCTTACCTGTGGGCTTATTAACTCACCGGAGTTGCTAATCATACAAATTCAGAGAACAAATGGCTATAGAACCGAGGGTGGGCTAGTGGTCAAATTCAATACTAGAGTTTGGGTTGACGAAAATATCTCATTTAGTGTAGGGAAAAGCGTATCCAACTACAATTCGAAACTGATTTCTTGAATATACAGGAATTAGGTAATACAAACTAATGAAGGTTCTGTGTTCTGAAAGATGCTTTAACAGCAGTTATGTGGTGTCAAAATATGTAGAAGTTGTTCCAATGTTAGATCTTCCAAATACTTCCAAATATGCAGAGGAGCACCTTCAAGCACATTCTTGTGATAAATTGCAATATGCTTGCTCAACTTACGATAAGGTCAGGAAGTGTAGGCTTGTATCTCCTGCAAAGCTATTAACAGGGATTGTAGAGAAAGATGTTTCTTTAACAATAGAAGAATCAATGCTTATATGCTCGAAGGAGTTTGGGAACCTGGGTACCTGCAAGCTGCTCCACATAGTCGCTGTAGGTAGTAATGGTGTAGAGATATATCAGCGGGAAGGAGATGCATACAGACTTGTACAGGGTGGTAAACAAACAAGTCACTAGTTTAACTCAATGCAAATCCAGAGCAAAGTAGTGGCTAAGATTATTTTCTCATATACATAAATAAAAACGTCATAGATTACACAAGAAAACTATCGGTTAAGTCAGGGTTAATAGGAGCACTAGAGGGTCATCATGCAGTAGACAGTCTGTAAGCAATAATTTCTCAGTGATTAAGACCGTTGAGGTTAAACTTACGTCAACCAAGAAATATGCTTTACAGCCCCACAGCTATTCCCACAATGCAACAAAGATGATGTCATCATCCACATCATTTAATGCGTTTTCTATGCTTCCTATAACAATAGGATAGGCAAAGTTCAAGAAAGAAAATACCTGTAAATGACTTTAAAAGAATATATAATTCAATTACTCTTCAGCCCAGTTCAGATTCACTTTTAACAATCAGATATTTTCTTTGCGTATGAATAAACTTGTGAAAAGGGTATACATGGGGAACACAGAAAGAAAAAAAGGAATTCATGATTACTTCTCCACATTGCACCATGAAAAAAATTTGACACTATGCCCAAAATATCTAATGGGGGAACAAAACAAAACAATCAATTTTCATGAGTTATTTTACTCAATGAGCCTTGTCAAAAAGTCATGACTGTATTCAAATCTGAATAGATTCAAATTGCCAACACTGATTATTTCTCAACAACTTGTCTGTAAGGTTCACCTTTCTATTTTCTTTTTTCTCTTGAGCAGTCTTTTTCAGTTGAAACTGCTCTTAGGAACCGTCTTTCCATCTTCCTATACAAAACAACACATTTCTTGTTTTCCAATGGTGGTCTTTTTAATACAACCTGCTTTAACCCATTGCTAAATAGAACCAGGTGGTTTATGTATTTAAGCCTATAGCAATGAGAGAATTCAGTGGTCAGAAGGTTAATAACTAAGGCTGCGACAAGTACTCGCACTGTTGACAACTACTCAAGTACGATTTTTTGTACTCGTATACTCGGCCGCCATTTTTTTTTCCTTTTTTTTTCTTCGCCTGTACACCTGGCACTGTCCAGGCTGACACTTACCCGTGCCCAGCGCCTGGGAGAGCACCGGCATGGTACCGTGGGTAAAAACATGGCGTCCGAGTATTCACCTGTAAGCCTGGGAGTGTACTCGAGTACCTCATTACACGATTATGCACAGCCTTATTAATATCATTCTATATGAAACCACCTCTTAATACATTTCCCTTTCCTCTTTCTCAATGAGAGGCCATTTTCAGCCCACCTCTGTATAAAGATTTACTTTCATCATATTCTGTAAATGGTCTTTCTCCGTCAAACCTTCTTATCAACAACCACCTGGATATAAAGACCATCTCTGAAGACTTCTTCTCTTGGGTGGCCTTTCTGAAGAGGTTTCACTGGATCTCCTTCTCCGGATGGCCATCTTGGCTTGTTCCGAGGCGTCAGGTATTGCCTTGGAAGCCTGTAGGGTGGTACACTGCCTTCATTTCATCCCGAGACATCGCCTTCAGATCAAAGCCCTTTTTCTCTTCTTGACCTACAAGTAAACCAAAAGAAATAATTATTATTATTATTATTATCATCATTATTTCATTCTTAAAATACTTTACAGGAGCTGAAAAATGAATTTAATCACCGTCTGCCCTCTTATAAAGAACACAAATCACATTACAATACAGGAACATTAATATCATAACAAAGGATATTGTTATTAAATACATCTTACCACTAAATCATTACTTAAACATTTACAAGAGATAGACAGATACTTAGTCATTTCAGGCAAAAAAAATTCAAAGAAAACGGGATCACAACCTCCGCTATCGCTTTATATACTGGGAGAGGCATGATGAATGACCAATTGTTGTATTCATGATATTACAGACTTATTTTGAGGATATTGTTTGAAAAAGTGATGCTGTTGTCAATATGTGCACGTAGACAAAAGTGCCTTAAAGATAAAGTTGAGTACTAAGTGTCTGCTATTGCACGGTGACAGAAACTTTTTTTTTTTTTTAATTGCTGAAACCCACAAAACAAATAAGTGGCATAATAATTAAGCTCAAAGTTGTTTATCACTTTCTAGTCAAATCATATTTCAAACATGAAAGTGCTCAGATAGAAATAAATTTCATGGAACATTTCTTTTTAAAGAGAATGGAATGAAAAGCAAGAAAATAACAACACATTGAAAAAACAAATGCATAGAAAATTTATAACACACATGTCTATAGTGGCCTTATATAGATCATGTTGTTTATGTTTTAAAAAACGGTCGATTTTAAATGCGTCTTTTAAAGGATTTCAACTTGTTTTAAACATGCCAACCCAATGATATTCTTCTAAAAGAAAATTGAATGGTAGAAAAGCTCACAACACAGTTATCCTCTTGACACAAATTCAACCTTCTCTTTAAGTACAACTTCAAGTAGTGTTCTACAACACATTGTAATATATCACATAGCATCAAACATATTGCCTTCAATCAATCAAACATACAATGAAAAATCTGACTTATCCGGGTTGGCCTGATCAATTAATCAACATGCAGACAGCTTAAGAGTGATTTATTGTTCATGACTAAACTCAGAAATATGTGGCATCCATCCATTGCGGGAGAAAGGTTACCAACAATGAATACTTGTAGGTTGGAACCACCTTTAAATAAGCTGGGTAAACTTTTGTGACTCAAAGAACACCTGCGTCTATTAAAGCAACAATTGAATAAGAAATGTCACCATGTCCTAGCAGGCTAGCACATATAACTACTGAAATATCAATTTTTCAAAATGTATTTTTATACTCATAAGGATCCATTTCTGTTTTAATCTAAATGAAACAATACACTTTCTATAGTACATTTTAAGTACTGCCTGAAAGAAAAGGTACTTTATATTTATACAATAAATGGCAGAATTCTTCATCATCACATCAAAATTGACTGTCTAAATTGCCAATTCAAGATTCATAAAGAGTTGATCTTCGTGTATCTCACATATTCATAACTTTTTCATGATTTCTCTATTTTCTTTCAAAATTTCATCAACTGGTTTCTCTTTGTTTTTCTGATTTCATATAAATGTGGTGGTTGTATTGCACTTTTAGTGAATCATATGTGTAATACACATCAATAGACTGTTTCTTATAGCACTAGAGCAATATATATGTGCCTTTGTTGCGAGAACCTCCTCTTTTACATGTCAAATAATTTTATCTTTGCTGAGGCAATGTTTTAAAGGTATAGACCAGTTTTGGAAACGCCCCCCCCCCCCTCTCAAAAAATAAAATGGAGATCGGGAGCAGCAGCGGCAGCTTTAGACCTGCAGAAATTCCCAGAACTCCGACAGTAGGTCCAGAGAGGGAGAGAGGTTTTTACTCAGCACCATCACAGCACAGCATTAAATGTATATACACAAATGCAGACACCTTACTCAACAAACGGCACAAACTACAAGCAATTATCACCCTGCACAATCCGCACATTGTAGGAATTACTGAGGTGAAACCAAAAAACCCTAGATATGAGTTGATGCCGAGTGAAATTCACCTTGATGGCTTTGAACTATTTCATTACTTGAATGATCAGGGTCGAGGAGTATGTTTATATGTACATGCATCTTTGAAAGCAGAGGAATGTTCCAGAATGAAAACAAATACCTTTAAGGATGCAGTATATGCATAGATAACTATGGCAAGTAGAAACAAGCTACCTATTGGAGTGGCTTATAGTAGCCCAGGGAGTAGTGACACAGACAACGATCAACTATGCACTCTAGTCAAGGACTTCAGTCTTTGTGGAAACTGGGATAAGATTCTTCTTGGAGACTTTAACTTTCCAGAAATCAACTGGGCAACCGAATCGTGTAATAGAGCCCCAAACCACCCAGCTTGCAAATTCCTGGAAGCGACAAGAGATGCTTTTTTTCACACAGCACCAAGATGAACCAACCAGACATCGCAATGGCCAGCAGTCTAACATTTTAAGCTAACATCGATGAACAGGCATTGCCCTACAAGCATTGATGGACTAAGCAAAAACACACTGGACTCTCCTTTTTGGGGGTGAAAAGCCGCTTTTTATCAATCTCTACTTGCCATTCATTTACACATTTAAAATAAAAATTAAAATGGTTTACCGCAGCATTTTTGAGCTAGCCTTAAAACCCAGTTAAAGAAAATGAAATAGCCTAGATCATTTGACTGATTTTTTTTTTGCTCTCTACTTTACCTTCCATTTCTCTCAACTTGGCAACCTTTGGCTTCAGTCCGTTCCTCAGCTCATTGATCTCTTCATCAAGCTTCTTCTGATCTGTGATGTATTGTGCACACAAATAAGAAGAAATATATATATATCTAAGGAGACACGAATGAATGAAAGAAAAGGTGGCCCATTTTTCTTCTACCGTATTGGCAGGCGTAAAGGCCGCAGTATTTTTGGAAGAGAAAATATCAAAAGTTGGGGTGCGGCCTTTACGGCGAAAGAGTAAAAAAAAAGTCAAAACCAGAATTTGCACATATGGGACTGAAAGTCGCCATTTTGTTTTCCATTTCATGTAGTTTCGCATTACACCGTACATTGTGGTAGGGGTATAAATCGGACACCAAATCTGCCTGCGATCACTTTTTTAGCTAAACTTCCGGAAAATTATAAGAATACTAGCAGGACCCGCGGAAATCCGCGATATTCTAGAGGGGGCGGGGGTGTAAATAGATATATAGAGAATGTCTAAATTAAAACCACCAAGAACGTTATTTGCCATTCAGGCCATTAAAAAATATACATGTTTAGCGTCCCCGCCCGCTTCCCTTTTGGGGCCGCCTCCTATTTTTTTTTTTTTTGATTTTTAATTTTTTTTAATTTTTTTTTGAAAGAAAAAAAAACATTGTCCCCGCCTGCTTCCTTTTTGGGGGCCGCCTCCTATTTTTTTTTTTTTTTTGAAAGAAAAAAAACATGAAAAGCACTGCTAAAATGTATTCCTGATTTTAAAAAAAAAAAAAAAAATTGTCGGCCGCCATCTTGAAAAATAGCCCGAATGCCAGGGAAAATGTACGGAGCGGCCATTTTGAAAGAAAAAAAAAAAAAAGTGCCTCCTCCTTCCCATTTTTCAAAAAAACAGGACGCTATAAGCATGTTTTTTTTTTAATTTGGCCTTATATCAAATTTAAAAAAACAATCCAACTGTACCGGTAGTTATTCTTTAAGCCACTGGAACTGCGTAGAGTTCCGTAGTATGGCGTACCGACTACGCAGAAATTAGGCTGCGTATTAATGGGAAAATAGTCCCTGCGTAGGTTATGCGTAGGCTGGCGTACAGGTTTGCTTATGGTTGCTTACTGTGTGGAAAGCTTTTACTGCTTAGTCGATCTGGCGTAGGGTAGCGTACTGTTGCGTAAAAAGACGGACTTTCTGCGTAAAAAGGCGTAATTTCTGCGTCAAGTTTCTATGCCGAAAGTACGCAAAAAAATTTAATCATGTTGAATTGTTTTCGTTCACCTTGCGTACCCCTTTCCGTCCCTCAGCATATAGTAACGTAGGCCAGCGTAGTTGGTACGCAACACTACGCAACTCTACGTATTGACCCCACGCCAATTAGTGACCCGCAAGTGTCACAAATAAAGTATTAAAAATATGCTCATCTGACCATAATTAAACGCCTAAAACCCCCGAGCTTTCGGGTGTTTATGGCCCCTTGAAACCCGTGGACCCCACGCCTATATTATATATACACCCAACTAGCTGGGATCTGATCTCTCCCCCCCCCCCCCCCAACTTTGAAGAACGTAACCCCCGAGCTTTTGGGGGTTTATGGCCCCTTGAAACCCGTGGACCCCACGCCTATATTATATATACACGCAACTCAGGACCCGTGGAAATCCGCGGGATTCTAGAGGGGGGTGCAGGCAAAAAATTAAGTTTTTCATTTCGGGGGCTCCATTTCAAATTTTTGGGAAATTTTCGGGGGCTACTTTTTCAACTTTCGGGGCTCTTTTTTCTGGGGCTACTTTTTCATTAATTCATAAAAGGATAGACCTACACTTTGTTGAGATTTGTTTAGTAGGCTAAGGTTTCAGGCTTCCTACTTCATAATTGCCTATTTAAAAAGACAAAACATTTTTCTAGTTCAATAACTAAGTTTTCATGCATTGATTTGATGCAAGAACTGTAACATAATAGACCCTAGATTGTGATTATTTCTGACCATTAATTTCGATAATCATGTTTCAAAGTAAAATTTTCACAAGAAAATCAGACAGTCGTTTAAAACGTAGACATTAGTATACTTTTACTAATTCTAAGCTCAGGTTTCGTAAATCTATTCACGAAACTATATTGAAATCGCGGCAATAATGATGCAAACCAACAGATAACAATTTCAAAGTGTCAAATCTCTTCGACTCAAGCTTATAGGTGAACTCACACACACTGCAGCATAACTCCAGGAAGCTCAACACCGGCGCCGCAGGCGTCGGACGCCTACGGTGCGCGGTGCCCGTGTTGGAGCTTCCTGCAAGCACATCGCAACTCACACACACTACAGCAGCACTGCACTTTGTGTTGACTGAAGGCAGCTTGCGACTGAACTGTCAGTCCAATGGTTTTCTTGTGGAAACTTTCCTTTAGAAAATGATAATCAAATTTTAGTATACATTGCCGTAATAATCACAAAATAAGCTTTGATTTCATACCTCCATTCACGAAAACTATATACAAATCGCGGCAATAATGATGGAAATAGGTCTCTAAGTTTGGACGTGGACGGGAAGCTTCGTGTGTATCTCTGTGGCTTGTGCAGCTACTACAAAGGATATCCTATAGAAAGATGCTTTACTCGGGTAAGCCCGACCCTGTGCATAGTGCATTTAATACGCAACTTAATGTGAGTGGATGGTCATCAGTCGTGTGTCTACGGATGTAATGTTGAATATCCATGAGAAATCTCTGTCGTCACGCATATCCTGCATTATGCATATCGCGTCTGTTTTCCGCCCTGGACGTCGACACGGAGGAGGACCTCGGGCGGAGTATAGCCAATTCCACAGAGTAGACTCTCCCGCGGACGATGGCACCGGGCACGGGTACCCCGAGGGGAGGGTTCAGGAGGAGATAGCCGCACCAACTTCGGTCGGCGATCTCATTAAAAAACAATAGAATACAAAGGCTCGCGGAGACGTCGCGCCCCCCGCGGAGCCTTAGCGTATTACTTATATAGATTGATGAATTTGGTATCAGTTTGTAAAAAAAAATAGTGTTTTTCAAGTCTTGATCTTTTTTCCTGTTTACACGCGCCTTGAGCACTCCACAGAGTGGATTTGGCGCGATATAAGTTACATTATTATTATTATTATTATTATTATTATTTTGTTTTGTCAGTTTTTTGTTTTTTTTCCTGTTTTTTTTTTCTCCCTTTTTTTCCCTTTTTTTTTCCTCTTTGAAATGTCAAAGTTGGGGTGCGGCCTATGCGGTGGTGCGGCCTTATCGTCGGCAAATATGGTACTTTAATAAAATCTGGTACTGGGTCTAAGTCCTGTTTAAAACTGAGGTATTGGTTTAAATCATGTTGGTAAACTTGATTTTGCTAGGCAATCTCATAACTGTTGGGACATTTATAGTCTTGGTCTGCTTTCCAATTGAGATTTTCAGGTTAAGTTTTGTATGGAGTATGGAGTATGGAGTTAATGACACCAGTTTGAAGGCAGAAAAATAGGAATTTTTCCTCCTAAATCAAAATGTCTGACAGCTATGTTACATCTTAATTTTGTTTGACAAATGGGTGAAACGGAAATCTAAGCAATCTTTTGTCCGTATCTTACCTTCAGTTAGCATTGTCTTGACATTCTTGGCTGGCAGTTTGATGAAAGTGTTCCCAAAGCCTACCCATGTTTTGACTTCTGCAAGTGGAAAAAAGAGAATTTATTGAATATAATTTGTAACCGTTATATTGACAGTCTTTTAGGGAATTGGTCACATAAAATTAAGGAAATAGAAAGTGGTTTCTTTCATACCTTGTCTCGTAGCAACACCTGTTGAAACCGGCACCAGAATTAGTGAGCCACAAATTGTTGGGACAAATTATCTCACAAGTCACAGTGAAATAATATATATTTACAAGGTGAATTATAGGTAGCCGTTCAAATATTACAGTTCCCGTAGAAAGAAAAGGTACACTATAGACAAATTAATGTCGCTTCTTTGCGGATGAAGTAATGGAGACGAAACTATCTCAATAAAGTAATAAGGCCTTAGAACTGAGTAGAAAATCAAGCGAAGAAGTAAGGCATGAATTATGATGAAGCTGAATTAGCCTTGACGTAGACTCTCTCTAAAGACATGTGCTCTATAAGAACAGCTCATGAGGAGTGATGAAAAAAGGTGTGGCAAGCAGTATATAAAATGCATGTGTAGGCTATACCAGTTCATTGGGTCATTGCACATCCCAATACAATGAGGTTTAGAATGTGCTTGCCAGAGCAAGTATGTGTGGAACTCAAGTAATGTTACAGGTGTCACTATAGAAATGGGTGACAATTGAATAAAAGGCAAGACTCACTATGAACATGACAGACAAAGAAAGGACAAAATATACAGTTCCTCATGCTACCCTCAACAATTGTTGAGGGTAGAATGAGGAACTGTATATTTTGTCCTCTTTCTTTGTCTGTCATGTTCATAGTACTTCTTGCCACACAATAAAGTCAAGACAATATATATACAAATGTAAAGTTCTTTTAAAATCAAGTCACAACACTCTAATTATCCTACATGCATATCTTATCAGACTTTGAAAACTGAAAGTGTATGTCAGTAATCATAATACATGTGTACTGTAATGACAAATACAATGAATAACAACAATCTGAATTGCCCTAGAAATACTTAATCAGGTTATTGCAGCATTATCTGTAATTGTTTTACTAGTTTTATTAAAATACTAAAAACCATTGCCCATGTGTACCTTTTTTACTCTTCTGGTTTGACGGAAATTCTGTCTGATTTTTCAAAGCTCGGACCGCCTCCCTGCTTTGGTTCCTCTTCCGATCAAGATCTACGATCTGAAATGTGAAAAATTGACTCAGACCATGAAGATGAACGTCTCATAACAAAACATCTCAACTTGACAAGAAAGATGTGAGGAATGAAGATGGGGAGAACATGTAGAACTTGACGCACTGAGCGCTGTACAGTCAGTTAATGCGCTCCCATTGGCCGATCTGCTCAAGTGGTTTTACATTAACTCAGAATAATACATTTCAAATTTCAAGAATCACCGTTTTTTTTCATCAAAAGATACAGCCCCCTAAAATCTAGGCAATATTCATCCAATTTTTGTCAGAATCAACAAAAAAGACGTAGACGCAGAGTTATTTTGTTTCCTAAATTTAGCAAAACAGCTGTAGGGTCTATAGCGCAATATGCAAGCGTACGTGTGTTGCTTAGCCTTAGCAAGTTAGCTGCATGCGCGTGCTACTTGAGCACGATCGCAAGCTCCCTTCCTTGTCTTCCGTGTGCGGGTCCATTCGCCAATTAACAAACACGCACACGTGGTCCCAATTTGAATTGAATTGAAATGAATTGATAATGGTTTTATTGAGAATAAAAGGACAACAATGCATCGCGGCATAAAAGGCCGAATTGGGCGATGTTTTACAAATGTAAAATACAATATAGAGTAAAGGAGCCCGTAATCGGCCAGCTCCAGTTTTCGGCCGATTGGTTGGATGCAAGGTAAAATCACTCTAAAATACATCGCATAATAGCATAACACATATCCCACACATACCATACCATGCCAGTGTCACTGAAGAACCACATTTGCAATGGAAAATATATCCTAAAATATCACATTTTAGCGATGTAATCGCCGGTCCCGCTACCCAAATCTGAAAAATCGAGTATCTTACGCTAAGGCTGTGAAGGGTAGTCGAATGCTCGAGTACCCGCACGGTTGACACCTACTCGGGTACGATTTCTCGTACCCGAATATTCGGCCGCAAAATTTTTTTTTTTTTTTTTTTTTTTTTTTTTTTTTTTTTAAATGTCCAGGCCGACGCTTACCCGTGCCTGGGTGAGCGGCGGCCGCTGGCATGGTGCCGTCGGTAAAAATGTTTCCCAACTCAAGCACTGTCAAACTCACCACTCAGAAACTGGGACCAAATGTCTGGATTTGTGCTTGGACTTGGAGGGAAATGGATTATTCTGCCATCTTTGGTTTTTAAAACAGCATTGTTCACTGTTATTATTATTATTAAATCGGCGCCTTCAACTGCAACTCAAAGTAAAATTGCATGCGTTTTCGGCGACAGAACTGGGATACTGCTCCAGTGGTATGTATGGTGGTGGCAAAAACAAAACAAAAACAAAAAAAAAATCAAAAAAAATTCCAAAAAAATTCCAAAATTCCAAAAAAAAATGGCGTCCGAATACTCGAGTATTCGCTTGTAAGCATGGGAGTGTACTCGGGTACCTCATTACACTGTTGTGCACAGCCTTATCTTACGCGTGTCTGTAAGAAATATGGGTACCATAAAATGAAGTTTATTTCAAGTATTTTTCAGATTTAAAGCCCGATTTTGTGCTAGTCGCAAGCTCAAAAGTATGTCATCGCATGTATTAAATCAATGCAGCCGCACACCGCGACGCACACACGATATCTCTGTCTAATTCAGACTCCAACTTCCGATCACCGCTGTGCCTGTCTTCGGCCAGGCGAGCACCAGGGAGCTCCGGCGTGGGATACCTACTCCGCCCGCTTGTGCTGTACATCAGCGCGGAAACGCGCTTCCTATTGACTTTGTACATGCGGCCGTAAACTGAAACGCTCGGCCGATAACGGGCTCCAAAACAGTGAAAATTGAAATGAATATTGTCATGGCAATTCGTGATTTTTTTTCTGGGATTCTTTTTTTGTTTAAATAATAATAATATTTGCTTCATGATTTGAACAAGAAATGATAATAAATAGGAATTAAAGAGTCCTAAAAATAGGATTTTGTCTTAAGTGGCCGAAAACGGGCTCCTTTACTCTATAAAAACATTCGTATCAAATAACATCAAAATTATTGAACTGAACGTAGACGAATCACATGCATGAGCAGATTCTAATTTCTATGCGCCGTCACCATGGATTTGGGCTGAGCGGAGCTCACGCCTCCCTACGGTAACTTAGCCGATCCAAAAAATGGGGGGAAGGGTATTTTCAAACTGAAATTACTTGTGATCCCTTGGGGCAAGTGAAAAAAATTAGTGCATGCATGGATATATTCCTTACAACTGGGACTACTTATCGCTCGGGGTGTCATTTCTAAAAAGTGGCAAATTTCAGAGCTACGAACGATGGAAACAATGTTTAGATCTAGTCTAGACCTAGATGTCTAAATCGCTTTTTTTACCAAGATGTTTTTAGAATTCTGAGATGACACCCCTTTAATATTATGGAGATAAACTTGCTCTTTCATATGCAAGTAACCTCATTTATTGAGTATCACCTTCAGGATAAGAAATAAAGGTTTGAATCTCAATTTGACCAATTTTGCATGATCGCGCAATGCACAGAGACTGCATAGATCTAGGTGCATATTAGGCATGCGTGCAATCTCTATGGGAAGGATTTTAGCACACGACATGCATATCGGGTGCGCGATCAGAGAGACACTGACATTTTCATTAACATGTGGGACCGAAGGTCCTCGCGTTCCTTCAATTCTACACGATTTAATTTATGTTAAATGGAAACTAAATGAATTAGAAATTAAACAACCATACCTGCTGTTTTTCTGTGAGAATTTCCTCCGCAAGAGCCTCTAATTCACCGAGATGCGTTAAGACGAAATTGGTATCTCCAGACATTTTTGTTATTAGCAATTCACTGTAAATTAGCAGACGATCGGCAACATGTGATTGGATATCGACTGTGTGCGCGTGCGCGTGCGAAAGTTTTCAAAAGTTTGAAAGGACCAAGTTGCCCCCCTAATAAAATTCAAATGTGGTTTATTTCTGATTCGATACCAGTGATTTACAAATGTTGCTGAAATGGCATGGTATTTCCCTGAGCTTCCGGGGGCTCTGCCCACTGGACCCCACAAAGGGGCCCTAATTAAGGCAGTCCTTAGATGCTCATCTGATCGTAATTTAATTCCTAACCCCTTAGATTCTGGAGCGCTCTACCCCACTCCAATTGGTGATGTGCATGCCAGTGTCACAAATAATTATCAAAATATGCTCACCCGACTGTCATTATATGCCTAAAACCCCTGAGCTTCCGGGAGCTCAGCCCCCTGGACCCTACAAGGGGGCCCTAAGGCGGGCATCTGGATGCAAGGTCATCTGACCGTTATTAAATGCCTAAAAGCCCTGAGCTTCATGGGGCTACGCCCCTTGACCCTCACCGGGTCTTTGCCCCTGGACCCTACACCAATTTACGTTCCACTTGCTTTTCCCCAACGTGATCGTTAATACATTAGAACCCCCCCCCCCACCCCCCCCCCCCCACACACACTTTGAAAAACGTTCCGCAGGGCCTGCATGTAACATGTAACAGGCATGATGCAGATTTTTTTCTGCACCCCCCCCCAACATTTTTGCTCATTACGCCACTGCTCCATCATCCCTCGCATTTCATCTCCCCCCCCCCCCCCCCCCCCCCCCCCCGTCATGAAAAGAAATCGCCACCCCTGTATAACAGTGTTTTACTCACTGATGAGGTTACCCTGGGTAAATAAAACAAAATAAATAAATAGATAAATAAATAAAATACATCACATTTCTTTGCAATTTTGTCTCGATCCTACGTCTCACATTTTCACCGCTCACTCCCTCACGATAGATTTATTTTTCTCCTTAGGTACAGTTTCATCTCACCCACTCCCCTTGATCTCTCTCTCTCTTCTTTTTTTCCATCTTCTTCTTCTTTATTTCATGCTTTCCAACACTTCTGTTACAATCGCAGCTTCTTGGTCTTCTCAATATCCCTGTCTCTCCTAGTCTCTATCATGACATGTCTCTCATTTTCTCCTCTCTTTCTCTTTTATTCTCTCACCCTAACTTCCCCTCTCCCTAGCTAATCTTCCATAAGATACCAGGAAGCTGTAACAGCTTCCTGCATATACCACACCCCCTCAATATCTCTGATGCAAGAGTGTCAAATTCACTGAAAAAAAAATCTTCAAAAACAGAAACCCCCAAAACAATAGGGGGGGGGGTCCTCATGATTTGGTGACATGCCTCTAAAAAGTGTATGACAATTACCCCCATGTAGGAATCCCCCCCCCCCCCCCCCCTCCCGAGGACAATTACCCCCCCCCCCCCCCCCCCCTTGTCATTAAAGGGGATTCTACCCTGATAATAAGTTAGTTTTTATAAAAACAGACATTTTTCCGGAGGGGGGGGGGGGGGGTCGTCTCAGGGTTAATTGTCCTAGAACCTTGACAGGGATTGTGAGTGTGTGTGCGTCCAGAGGGGGGGGGGGGGGGAGATGGGGGTTTCCCCGTAGCAATGCCCCATCTTTAAAAAATGCTTATACGTGTAAATCATTGAATAGTTTTATAGAGCAAAGGGTTAACTATGTTCACTAATCATTTATGTTTAAAAACTATATTACTCTTCCTTAAATTCAGTGTCCATTTTTTTTCATGATATAATTCATTCATCATCAAAATATAAAATTGTGTAATACAGGTATCGATCGGTATATTTGCCTTTAATAACCTTTGATGATTCAATTTCTGTGAAGTAAGAATATATACCGATAGTTCTTTCTTGATAATAGTTCAATTTTTGACTAATTAATAAACCCCAAATTTACAAAGCATATATGACAAACTGATACAATTTCATGGTTGTTTTCATGACACTTATCCATAGTTTAATGGCTAGAATTAATTTATACAAATTAACATAAACACAAATCTTTGTCACACATAGGTTTCCTTCGGATTATACATGTACATCAACAACAAAGTTATATATATTTACAGACACATATATAACAAACATTACATATTAATTTAAACTCTGATTTGATGTAAAAATATCATACAATGATTTTTTTTTCTTTTAAGGTAAATATCAATGTCTATATTTTTCTCTCCAATGCTTCCAGGCCTAATAAATGTACTGTTTTTTTCCTTCGTTTTTAACAATTTACATACACCTGTCTCCTCCTTTCTATTAAAATGAATTCTTCTTTCTTTATCATAATTGAAATATAAATACAACAAAATTCGATCACAACATGGACTAAAGTGCTTCACATAATACTTACAGTTGGTCTGCAACAGGCATTATATTTGTATTACAGAACATTTGACCAAACATTTTCTACAAGTTTGAGTTATAAAATGAACCAACATTTCCAATAATGCCACAATGAGTTTACAGTGTTTTAAAACAAATATGCAGTTTCAGCACCATGACAAGTATAGAAATCAATTCAATACCAATTTTGGACATATTTGAAGTTAAAAAGAAGAAGAAAAATCAAGAATGGGTTTCTAAGAAAATAATCAAATTCATTCAAGGTATTGTAATATCCACTGGTATGCCACAGGCGCTTCGTTCGTTTTCTTTGAAATCGAAATAAAAGCTATGAGATAAAACAGAGTCAGACATACCGGTACTGCACATAAAATCCTGTTTGTATTCATTAAGGATATAAGACATAAAACATTGTAATAAATATAAAATTCATGAAAATAGTGAATATAAATGAAAGTGCTACAAAAATCAGCTGATCATAATCCAAGATTTATCTAGAGAAATTCATCAAGCAAAGTCGAGGGGTATAGCAGTTCAACACTCTGCCAATGTTCATATGAATGCAGATAGCATGACAGCAAACATTAAAAATCAACTTAATCATGGTGAAAAATGGTTTAGCATTTTGAAATGTGTGGACATATAAATGGTATGCAGTATATCATGCAGAACCCTGTTCTTTGGGGTGTGGTCCCCCTCCCCTTCTTTTTTGGGATGAAGTTACAAGTCATAGACACATTTTTAACAAAATATGTTGGATGTTGATTTTTCAAATAATTCTTCACACTAAAAAAAGATATACCGGTAAGCTGTCTGAGTTCACGTCATAAATTTCACATTTCAAGACCAAAAAGGAAAATATTTTCAAACTCATGAAACACTCTTGTCTGAAACATATCCTGCTTAACTCTACATACTAAAAACTCAATTTAAAATCCTACCTGTGGAGATGTAAAGGAAATATTGTGCATCAACTTACAATAAAATTAGCACATACATAGCTCTTATCTGCTGTATAGTTGTGCGTACAAAAAGGTGGCAAGAGAGTTACAATACTTAAACAAAAACAAAAACAAAAAAAGTTTAGTAGCACTTCAGCACACAAATGGGAGTTGGAGGCAAGTTTAAGAAATAATCAGAAGTGCTTCTAAATGGGAAGCGAAATTGACAAAAAGTTCTTAATCACAACAAATTGCAAATCCGGTGGTATAAATTTATTTTGTAAGGTTCCAAGGATGATGTAGGTTGTTTAAAGGTCTCTGTATCTTATACTGCGAAACATCATTATCCACTGTATTTCTGTCGTCTTACAGTTTGTAGAGGTGTCGTGGAGTAGTGGTTCATCCACTCCACTCTCAAAGCAAAGGTTGTGGGTTCAAACCCAAAAGATGCAGAGAGGTCCAACAAATATGCAAAGGAGTTGAAACATCCTTTTAATACTGAAGCAATAATATACCGGTAAAGATTTACACAAATGAACGAATCATTTTTGTTTTCATTTGTGCAAATTACTTTGAGAAAAAGTAACAGACAATAAAAATTAATTACATATTTATCGGTAAACAATAGTGCAAGACCAAACATAAATATCATTATGTTAATGTTATATCATTTTGTCAACCTTGTGAATTTGTTATCATCTTGCCTGGAAATAAAATAAATAAATAAATTAAAACACAATCAATCTGGGTGACCCAGTTTCACCGACTCTGAAATAAATACTGTGTCAGTTTTATTGGCACTCTACAAAAAATCAAGGTAATTTATCAAACATAATACCTGGTTACACAGGGAATATCAGGGCATGGATTGTTTAAAAAGGGGAAAACACAATGAGGTTCAAGAAGCAAGTCAGTCCTAGGGCAGTTATGGATCAAGGATTTTGAAATAAAGGAGGTACCACAAAGAAAATCTTTTCAGAGCATGCATTGAATGTTTTATTAGAGCAGGGAAAAAAATAACATTTATTTTTCGGGGGCTACTTTTCAAGCTTGCCTGCATGAAAGCAACACTCTAAAATTTGTTTTGCATTGAACTCTATGCAAAGTTACAGGGGCTCTTTTCTGATTTTCGGGGGCTCTTTTGGGCAATTCAGGGGCTAATTCGCCCCAAGCCCCCATGTATTTTTTCACTGTATTAGAGAGGGGCAATCTATTGTTCCCCCACCCCCTCCCATTTGTCACTGGTCTAGTGGACACAGTACATTGCTTTAGTACCTAAAAGTTTTTAAATGGTATCCATAAAGATTCCAAGTCTTGGTGGTTTTATTTAGCATGCAATAAGAGTGCAAAGCATGACACAGCAAATGTTTGACTAAATCGTGATTATTCACTAATGCAATACTGTAACCTCTAGTGAAAAGGAATTAGATAATGATATCGACTGGTAAATATCACTGCATAACTCTCTTCAGAATAAATCAAAATTATAATTTGATATTTCCCTTTAAATACACTTCTAGAATATCCATGGATATGAACCCCATCACATCAAAACTTTGGCAAAGGTCTTCACCCTATCCACTTCTTTTCGGTCTATGCCAAGAAAATGATTTTGTTTAAAGGTAATACAAAGTTTTGGGAAATTTTTAAATTGGTTGGTTGAGATACTTTACAATTTTTAAATATTTGGATGCCCCTATGGATGTATCATAAGCACCAGAAAATTTAGCCTCAAAACACTTCTGCTTTCGAGAAAAATTGAATATAAAAATTTACTGGTGCTCCTGGTAAATTTTGATA